AATTTATAGAAAACTCCAACACCTCAACAATAAAAAGACAAATAATCCAATTAAAAAATGGGCAGAAAATATGAATAGACATTTCACCAAAGAGGACATTCAGGTGGCCAACAAACATATGAAGAAATGTTCATGATCATTAGCCATTAGAGAGAAGCAAACTAAAACAACAATGAGATACCATCTTGCCCCAGCACTAGTAGCAAAGTTCAACAAGACAGAAAATAACAAATGCTGGCAAGAAGGCAGAGAGATTGGGACTTTCATACACTGCTGGTGAGACTGTCAAATGATAGAGCCACTGTGGAAAGCAGTATGGTGATTTCTTAAAAAGATGGAATTAGAAATACCATTTGACCCAGCCATTCCACTACTAGGTATATATCCTAAAGAAGTGAGAGTCAGGACAAGAACAGATATATGCACACCCATGCTCATCGCAGCACTATTTACAATAGCCAAAAGATGGAAACAACCTAGGTGCCCATCAATAGCAAAATGGACAAACTATGGTACATACACACAATGGAATTCTATGCAACCCTAAAGAATAATGTAGAATTGGCAAAACACTGCATAACATGGATGAACTTGGGCATTATGTTGAGCGAAATAAGTCAATCACAGAATTTACAAATATTGTCCATTATTATAAAAAGTCAAAGAAAGGTTTCCATATGGAAGGAAATGTTCTTTGTTGGTTACCAGGGGTGGGAGGGGAAGGGAGGAAACACTGTTAGATAGGTAGAGATAAGTATTGATTTGGTAAGGGCAATGTATCAAATGGGAGTGATCAACCTGGCAGCACTGAGGAAGGGGAAGACATAGAGAGGTGCATGGGAGGTACAGACAACAAAGATGAACCCTTTTGCACATACAGTACTGTGTTGTCAGTGATGGCAAACATGGATATACAGGTGGATAGATGGGTGGACAGGCTGAACTATTAGGTATGTCTGTGCAGTAGGGAGTGTGCCCATGACCATGTATAGGATTGGCAGACAATGTTTCTACAACTTATTTGTATGTTCTGTAAGAATTCCCAGGTATACATTAGAGCTGACAAAGGACAAGGTTGTAGTCACTTCTTGGCCAAAGTGAGCTACATAGAGGGAGCAAGTAGTTGGACCTGTGGGCTTGGGACCATATTCACAGGGGATATCAAGCTCAATTGGTATAGCATACTACACAAAAACGTTCTACATCTGACTTTGGCAAGGAGCAACTGGGATCTTAAACTCTTGCATGCAGCTTTCTAGATGCAACGATGGTCTCTCCTCATCCAGAGCAAAGGAGAACGAAGAAAACCAAAGATGCCTGGAAACAATTAGCCCAAGTGACTGGTACACTATGCGATCCTCAGTGTATATGACTATGAGACCAGAAGAAGTATATGGTGCCCAGCTACCACTGCCATCCACTTGGAAGGGATGTAGGAGATCCTGCATAAAGAGGGAGAACAATGTGGAACAAAACTCAAAATCATTTGGGGGGAAAAAAAAAAAAGGGGGGGGGGACCAGGTTTGCTGGTCTGATAGAGAGAGCCTGGTGGAACCACTGAGACTATGGCCCCTAGCTGCCCTTCAGGTCTGGAATTGAACCCACACCTGTGGCTTCCAGCCAAACAAAAGACAGGCATGTGAGCTGAACATTTACATTAGGCAGACACACTCCTTGGAGAAAATAATCATGGGAGAATAGAAGGGCTATGTATGCAAAAGGAACAGCTCAGGGGGCAGGAGTGCATGGAGCAAAGGACACAGGGAAGAAGTCACTATGGGGAGGAAGTGGGAGGGGAACTCTTTTGCGTTGTGGTGAATTGTAGTCAATGTCATGAGACAAAGTGTATGTGAGCTGCTGTACGGAAAGGGAATTTGCTCTGTAAACTTTCACCCAAATCACAATAAAAATAAAATTAAAAAAAGAAATATGCCCTGACCAAATTGAGATGTGCTGTTAAGAATTAAAATATCTCATTTTTTTATGCTGATGACATTTTAAAATAATAATAATGTTTTGAATATATTGGGTTAAATAAAATATATTATTGAAATTAAAGTCACCTGTTTCTTACTTTTTTTTTTTTTACTTTTTTAAAAGTGGATACTAAAACTACCTAAATTGTAGTTAGCATTATATTTCTGATAATGCTGCTTTAGACAATAGTTAAATGTTTAGCAGAGGGCTGACAGGTGGGATTTCATTTCAGAACTATCTTCCTGGCAACAGTATGAAAGATAATTTGTAGGGGAACTGGACAGGAACCAAAGAAACCGATTCCAAAGGTATTATAATAGCCCAAGAAGAAAAGATAAAGACTTGTTAAGGCAAGGGTGTTGGAGATGGAGATCGGAAGACAGATTCAACCCATGAGCTGCAGGGAATGATTTCCAAGTTTCTTGTTTGGATGTATATATAGGTCACTGATAATTCCAATAACTCAGAAGATTATAACAAAACTATCCAACTTACTATCCATGGACAAAAATGATTAATTCAGTACAGGATGTTGTATTGGAGATGCCAATGGAACTTTAAATATATGTTTTCAGTAGGCAGAAAGAAATATACAAATAAAGAACTATAAAAGCTCGTTTTAGTGATTTCAATTAATAAATAAATAACCTATGACACAGCTCACACCAGCCACTCCTCGGAAGGAAGGTCTACTTCCATAGTGATAACATCTCAGAAACCCAAGGAGAGGTCACTATGAGTCAGGTCCGATTCGACACCACATAACAAGAACAATGACACAGCCGTGAGTTTGGTTTTGGTTGGTATGACAATCTTACGCATTACAGAGTAGAATTACTCCATAAGGTCTTCTTGGCTGTAATCCTTACAGAAGTACCTAGCCAGGACCTTTCCTTGAGTGGGTGGGTTCAAACTGTCAGCTTTTAAGTTAGTAGCCTAGCACAAGCTATTTGAGCTACCCAGAGGCCCGGGATTAGAGATAAGGATATGTAATTCATCAATATATATATAATGAGAGACATCATAGGTATACATGACATTACAGAGAAAACTGTCCTTGGGATAAACAAAACAAACAAACAAAAAAAACAAAGAACCCTGAGGAACACCCACACTTAATGGACAAGGAAAATGTCAGTCAAGAGGTTAAGCCAAAAAGGCAGCAAAATTAGAAGAGAACCAGAAGATACTGTTTCAAAAGCAAAGCAAGTAGAGTTCAAGCTGCAGAGAGGTCCAATAAGATTTAAAAATAAAATTTTTTAAAAAGCCCATTTTATTGCATTTATTGCAGCTTAATGGTGATGTCACTGCATTTTACATATATTATCTCATTTAATTCTCAAGAAACCCTATGAGGAAGATATTTTAGTTATTCCAATTTACAGATGAGAAAATGAAAGACACAGGGAGGTTAAATAGCTTGCCCAAGATCAGGCAAAACCTGATCCTGTAGAGACAGGACTAAAACCCAAGCCATCTGGTACTGGGATTCTTACTCATATTTCTGATTAGATGGATATATGTAATTAGCTTATCACCTCCCCTGAAATACTGAACAAGCAAATGAAAGTTTCTATTATCAACAGGATTAAAATAAAATGAAAGAAAAATGTTTAATTATTTTGTTAAGCTGTCTTCAAAGAAGTGAGAAGTTGCCTAGGAGACAATATAAATGGAAGTAACTTTTCTTTGATTTTTGTCACCATTCTTTCTGCATATTCAAAGCCTTTTAGAATCAAAGCAACTCTGGCCTAGGAGAGGTGTAGGGCATGTGCCATTACCATGCTAGTCCCCTAAGTCCGGCTGTATCAGTAGTTGGGAGGTGGGATGAGGACAGGAAGGACTAAAACAGGAAAGGAAAAAAAGAAGCAGGAAAATGGCTGTCACTGTCAGCTTTATTTAGCTTTCTCTGTAACTCCCTCTTCTTGCCACTCTCAATGCAGTCTTTTCTAAGCCCAATGAAGAAGCATTTGTGTGTAGACTTTAGAAAAGTGAAGCTACGTTACAGGATCATTACAGTATCCCCTGAAGCAACAAAATTTGTTGCAGACCTTGTTTCCAACTTGGCTTAGTAAACTCCATCAGTCATGCCTGGTCTTTCTGAGAACTGAGAAATTTGTGAATTTGCTGCTACTAGGATTCAGTGGCAGTCTTATAACAAAAGAAATTCTAGTAAGTATTATTTAAACAGCTCTGCTGAGGCTCTCCCCACAAAATATGTGCCCTTCATCTTCCATTTTCTTAGTATAAATTCTATATTTTTTTATTAGGTAGTCATTCATTTGAGTTTGCAAGAGTCTTATTTTAAACTGTAAACATTCCTATGGATTTTGGTATTTGACTAACTCACTCTTGAGAGAAGAGTTCATTTGAGGAATAACAGTTTGAGGGGAAATGAGCAATAAATCAGCAGTGTATGTCGGAATACAAATGCCTGATAGATACAGGGAAAGGAATATTAGCGAGGTACCTAAATAAACATCTAGAAGGATGAGAAGGACGGGAGACATGGATGATAAGCCAAAGTTATTACTGCATAATTTTCCATGAGTTCTGTCCTTCTGGGAGGTTTTCCTCTAAACATTGATCCTCTCAAAATCCAATTCAGATGGGCTCCATTGAACCAAGTGACTGGAAGCATTTTTGGCAGAAGTGGCAAGTGCCACAAGGCATGATGGATCAGAATAAATAGAACTGAGGTATGACTACAGGGGTGGAAGAAGACTTCTTCTAGAACTCTGTAGTATTTTTGGAAGGTATAATTTTATTTCAGGAAACTTCTCACTAAATTTTGCCAAGGTTCTCTTCAAAGTGTTAAGTATAACACCTGCTGAGGCATACAGGGTTTAAAACATTTATTTAATAAAATTACAATCAAGTCAGAAGCTTTTACTTAAAAGTAGAAACAATGAGCCATGAGATTATAAAACTAAAAGGTAGGTCATTCATAAATATGCAAACCAGTCTTCCCTCTTTAGAGCCAGAGCAATGAACGTGAGCATTAATTGAAGAACTGCACTCACCTCTGTGTACTGCTGGACAACATTTTCAGGCGTAGGGCCAAGAAACATGTAGAAGTCAAGTACTCCTCCAATGGTCTGGAATGTTATAGAAGGATGTGGACTCAGGGTGACATCTGAGGAGAAAAAGCAAAGTACAGAATAATCACAAATAAAATAAGTGGCAGAGATCACTATTTTAATATTTATAGTATTGTATTAGGCTCTATTCATAGCTGTGATAACATCTAAACATCTGCCAGAACTGGCAAATTCTGTTTATTCCATTTCGTTTTCTTTACTGAAGAGTTCATCAGGTCAGTTATCTATTGCATTAACACATACATCTATACACACAAACACACGTGCACATAAGAGAGAGTTAGTTTTACTTTAGTCCTAAACACACAATTAAGGAAAACCGCTACACTGGCAATGCATTTCAAATATTTAGAGAATAATGCAGTGCAGAAAGGCAGCATTGGCTGAGATGATACAAGAGATCTGGTGACACTGTATCACAGTGACGTTTCTAACAGGTATTGCTTATTCAAGTGGCTTCTGTTCTCTCAAGGTATGTGCCTTGACAGCATTTTGCAATATATGTTTCATTACAAAATTTTCCATCTTGAAATAAAATATTAAATTGTAGACAATCTTGCAATCTTTTTATACTAATTAATAAGTATTTTTAAAAGGAAGAAAAAGCAAAATTAGCATTTAAATTGTGCATTTTTTTTCCTATATAACTTAGCCAGATAGGCACATTACCTTGGGCATTGGAATTCAGAAGAAGAACACCATGAGCATTAAAATCATTCTCTATGCACATATAAAAAGGATGAACTCCATAGAGATTGCCAAATGCCTGTGAAAGGAGAAAATATTATTTTACAAATGATTTATTATCATTTTATTATCCTATCTTAGTGAGAAACAGTATTAATGGATGAAATGCAAAAAAAAAAAAAAGTATTCCTCTACACCAGCAAAGAGATTGCTGAAAAAGAAATAAGAAAATCAATACCTTTCTCAATAGCTAATGAGAGTAAAAGGTAAACTGGTGAAAAAAAAAAAGTCATGAGAGAATATAAATCTTTTAGACTTGCCTTTATGATTGATTACATTGAAACCAAAATGATTTCAGAGAGTAAATTTATAGAAAATCATTCTTACCATTAATGGTCTCTTTTTCTTTTATTAAAACAGATTTTTAATATTAAAAATCTATATTCACACATTACCACTGGTGCTTGATCTCTGGAAAACATTCCATATTTCACATAATTCATAGTATGCTTAAAAGATGGATGTTCATGTTCACCAAATCCGTAGACTGAAGAGGATGAAAAAGTGGTCTTTATGTGAATAAACTGGTTAGAAAAAATCAGGCCTCCAAAAGATGTTTCCCACCTATGCCAGACAGAAAAACACAAAAACAATGACTGTTGGCACTTAAAGAAATTATTTTCTCTGGTAAATACTGGTTTAAAGAAAATAATCTTGTTAGCTTAAAAGAGCCATGAGAAAAATAAAGACAGGGTGTGAAGGGATCTGAAAGAAGGGTAAGAAATTCACATACTTTTAGTATTTAATAAGTGCTGGTCTCTGAACTGGGAGCTCTGGTGGCATAGTGCCTAAAGCACTTGACTGCTAGTCAGAAGGCTGGTGGTTCAAACCCACCAGCCACTCCTCGGAAGGAAGGTTGAGCAATCTACTTCCGTAGTGATGCTTCCTCAGGGATTGCTATGAATTGGATCCAATTCTATGCTAGTGCATTGTGTTTCGTCCATGAACTGGATGTACTAACTATGGTATTTCACTTAATCCTCACAATAACCTAAGAAAAGGAATTATTATTGTATTTTATACATAAAGAAACTGAGATACAGAGAGGATGAAATATTATGTAACTTGCCTAAAACTAAGAGGCATTTTTTTCAAAAAGAACAAGGGAATGCTGTGTAGTTGAAAATCAGGAAAGGAGTGTGTCAGGGTTATATTTTTTCACCATACTTATCAATCTGTATGCTGAGCAAATAATCAGAAAAGGCAGAATATATGAAGAAGATGACATGGCATCAGGATGGTGAGACCGTATCTTATGTACATTGGACATGTTATCAGGAAAGGCCAGTCCCTGGAAAAGGACGTCATGCTTGGTACAGAAAAGGGTCAGTGAAAAAGAGGGAAACCCTCAATGAAATGGACTGACACAGTGGCTGCAACAGTGGGCTCCAACATAGCAACAATTTTGAGGATGATGTAGGACGTGGCAGTATTTTGTTCTACTGTGCATAGGGTCACTATGAATTGGAAGCAACTTGATGACACCTAACAACAATAACATGGTCAAATACAATTTGTGGAATGCTGATTTAACATTCATTTATTTGTAAACAAAGCTAACTTCATGTATTTCCCATGGGACTCTTTCAGGACTTTTGGTAAGGAACAATGCATAATGAATCTCCAAGAGATTTCTATTGCATATGACATTTTCAATGTAATTGGTTATAGAAACATTTTGTCCTAGAGCATATTGTAGAAGCCAGGTGCAGTGTAGTAAATTACTTAGTGTGGCTTTTCTACCCATAAGTCTTTGTAAACTCCAAGGTGGGATTTTCTATGAGCAACTGAGGAGCTCCTGATTGCTGAAGTTGTCCACCTGGAGTATTTCTGTTGGGAGTGGCACAAAACAATGTTCTGGGAGGTGCCCACTTTCTCTCAGGTGCTTAGAGTTCTGATGCTATGATTGGCTAGTTTGACCACCCTGCCGGGCTCAAAAGGAGGCATCCTAGAGGCAGAACTCTCTCTGACTGCTGGTTGAGGAAGACGTGCCCCTGAAAGAGACACGGGCTTCTGAGACACGCGTTGCTGGGAAAGAGACACAAGAGACATGCATTGCTGAGTGAGACACTGAGGGACCAGCACTACTGGGAAAGAGACTGTGAGAGACTGCTGGCTGAGGGACAGTGGGCTGGGAGAGAGACAGCGTTCTTCCTGAACTTGAATTGTGGCCTGGTGCTTCCCTAATAAACCTCATAATCTATGAGCTCTGTGTGGCCACTGCAGCGAATTATTGAACGCAGGAGAGAGGTGGTGGGTGCTTTGGGAAGAACAGTTGGTGAAAGGGCTGGAGGGAGGCAGCATGTCTGGCCTTGTAGGAATAGGCCTTGGGTTACTGCTGGTAATCCTGTCTTCCTCTTGTAGGGTTAGAGGAGGTCAGAAGATGTGGCTTCCTTGCCGTTTTTGCACCAGGGTACTCATTTAAGGAGTAGGGAGAAAGCTGAAGGGTGGTATAATACCAGAAGTCACAGTGGTGAGAGGACACCCATGTTGCTTCTGAACCCATGACCTCAGCACATCCTCTACAGCTTTCCAATTCTTAGCCCTATTCAACAGGAGAAAAGGCTGGCCTACGTTCACCACTAGAGTGTCTTGCATGCCTGAGGAGATTGCTGCTAAGTAACAACACATATTGTGTTTAGTGGAAAGCACTCTTTTAGTGTTTTCTCTCTCTCATTCAAGGAGGAATATTGTCTGCTATATGCCAGGCACTATCCTGGGCATTAAGGGAGTATACAGAGGAATAAGATGTAGGAACAACTGGATAATTACAACACAATGGGGTTTGTGGAGATAAACAAATATGTGTTGATGCAGGAGCTGAACAGGGGCATCTATCACAGTTTGAGAATATGAAGGATCAGGGAAAATTATTATGAGTAGGTCAGGTTCTGTGTATGAAAAATAATGCTATTATCCTTTTTATTATTATTATTATTATTATTATTATTATTATTATTATCTTTTAGTGTGTGTGTCAGGGTTATATCTTTTCACCATAGTCATCAATCTGTATGCTGAGCAAATAATCAGACAAGCTGAAATACATGAAGAAGATGACATGGCATCAGGATAGTGACACCTTATCTCATGTACTTTAGACATGTTATCAGGAAGGACCACTCCCTGGAAAAAGACATCATGCTTGGTAAAGTAGTGTTTATTATCTTTGTGTGTGTGTGTGTTCCTCCTCAGAAGGAAGACTGGACAATCTACTTTTGTAGGGATAATATCTCAGAAACCCAAGGAGGAGTTGCTAAGAGTTGGATCTGACTCCATAGCAGTGAGTTTGGTTTTGGACTTGAAGGTAGGTTTTTCCACTCCTAATAAACAAGAAAACTCATTTAATTTTTCAAAGCATCAGAAATTTCAGAACAAACATGATCTTTCATATTTTTCCCTCTTGTAAGTATCAATATCACAACATATAACTTCCTGATCCAAAAAAACCAAACTCACTGCCGACAAGTCAGTTCCAATTCACAGCAATACTTCCTTTGGTTTCTGAGGTGGTATCTCTACAGAAGTAGATTGTGCAGTCTTCCTTCTGGCTAGCAGCCAAATATCTTAGGCACTATGCCACCAGAGTTCCCAAACTTTCTGATAGCTCATTAAAAATTTCACTTAGCCACAAAGACCTGAAATAAAGATGAAAATGCTACCACAGTGCTTTATGATTAATCCAAAACATCAATAGTAATCATTTGCCTCAAAATTGTATAATAATATTAACAGCACTTGAGAAAATATGTCGAGTTAGAGTTCCAAAGATATTATTCAGAAAAGGTGTACCCAAGGGTTATATTTAAAATATTAGGCTGAAGGACCTAAAGGCCCCAAAGATTGTAGGTTTTGGCCCTTTGCTGGAACTTAAGGAGATTTAAGATATCCTGGGCATTTGACTGCTAACCAGAAGGCTGGAGGTTCAAACCCACCTGCCACTCCTCAGAAGGAAGGTTGGCAATCTACTTCCATAGTGATACTGCTTCAGAAACCATAAGAGTGGTCACTATGAGTCTAATCGACTTGACAGCAGTGAGTTTGGTTTTTTTTTTTTTTTTTGGTTTTGGTGGTAGAGAGGCTAGAGAGTGGAGGCAACAGAACAGCAGCAGAGGGGTCAAGGGACTATTGACCAATAGTGATTGAAGTATTTCAACATCTTAATAGAAGATCCGATCACAGTTCTTCCTACCACTAAGGAACAGGAATAGTCACTATGTTGCTAAGGAATTAATTCCGAGTTCAGATGACATAAACCTTAAAGATAACTTTGCCTCTCAGAAAATGCCATGTAAAAAAATCATTTGGGTTTGACTTTTTTTTAATGTAAAGAATGACATCAATTAAGCTTTAGTAGCATGTTATCAAAGGTCCCTGTGTGGTACAAATGGTTTGTGATCAGCTAATAACCAAAACGATGACAGTTCAAATTCAACCATCATCTCAGAAAGAAAGCCTAGTGATCTACAGAAGAAAGACCTGGCAATCTCCTCCTTCCTTAAGACTGCAGCCAATGAAAACTCTAATGTTCTTCTAATTGACTCAATGGCAATTTTTTTTTTTTTTAATTTTTTTAGGACACTATCAATAATGCCTGAGACATCTGACTGCTAACCAGAAGGCTGGCCATTCAAACCCACCAGCCACTCCTCAGAAGGTAGGTTGGGCAATCTACTCCCATAGTGATACCACCTTGGAAACCCAAGGAGGGGTCACTGTGACTTGGATCTGACTCGATGGCAGTGAGTTTGGTTTTTTTTTTTTTGGGGGGGGGTTTTATCAATGATCTTCAAAAAAGCAGTCTATGTTACTATTTAGAGAAGAGTCTGGTTGTCTTGGAATTATCTACAAGCAGAACCAAGGGCAACCTGCTACATGTCTCATCAGTTTTTACCACAAAACTGAGGTACAACCTCCTATATATTCTAGGATATACTACTAATGCATACTTATGGCCATCTTTTCTTTAAGAGAAAAGGAAGTTAATCATCACCCATATGATTCATATGTTACTTGTTTTGAAACAGCTGTATTGCCTTCAATTGATGGCATATTGTGAGTTATTGCCAGTTTAATAGAACTGGAATAACTGATGTAAGAGGCATAAGTTAGGTCCTGTGTAAGTCCTCTCTCTTCTGCTTCTCATTATAACTTCCAATATTTTCAGACGGTTAGGGTACACAAGTCTCGAGATTTTTCATAAGATACATTAGCAAATATTCTTTCCTACTTTACATTCCATTTCAAGAACACTGATTATATACAAAGGGGAAAAAAAAAATAAGGTAAAAGGAAGAAAAAAGGGCCTGAAAGAAGAAGTAAATTTCACTGTTTATTTAGAAATATTAACTACACTAATAATTAAAAATTGGGGTTTTATCAGTCTAAAAAGTAGATTCTAATAAATTTAAAAAAACCTGTAAGTCAGCAATGTTCATTGAACTTTAAAATAATATTGAAATATAGCACTCTCTTAGTTCAAATAGTTTTCAAATAATTCAATTATTGCAAATTACTTGAGTTTAAAAAATTTGAGGGTAATTTAAAATAACACCAGGTTGTTT